ATAGAGATAATTATAACATATGCATTCAAACTAAACATAAATGAAATAATGATTCAAGTGAGGCGAAAACATGAACGAAACAAGCGCCTGGACCTCTACTGAGGTTTGCGGTTTGAAAGTTTGATAAAAAGATCACAGTCACAGTCTTACAAATCAGTGCACACGCCTCAATGGGCCAGGAGAAACTTAATAACTAACGCGTGTAACGCGTTCAGTACGTGGCAGGGCACCGCTTTTGGTCCGTCCTGGTGAAGTAGGCTCTGCTCACCGCGTTTCTGTCTACCACCATGTAAGCCCTCTCCATGACCTCAAGGGAGGGTTCCCGTTGTCGAGTCAATATCCACGCGTTTCCTGGCGAAAAAATCAAATCGTATTGTAAAGAAAGGTTCAACATTTTGTTTACCTTTTACCCGGCATCTGCGGAAGAATAAGAACAAAGTCGGATGTCTTAGACTTACTTGTACTGAAGATTCCAAAGTTCGAACACGACCATACGACTGCGTAGTTGTCGTAATCCGTGTCCAGTACCCAATACGGCACGTCCAAAGTCACTGAAATGGGGTAGGTAAGTCAGCAATATTTTGAAAGCCCGAGGGAAAGTCTCTCTATTTAACTTCATCTCGATTAGGAGGGTGCTCTGCAAATCTAAGTTCAGAACTCTTCTACAGTTGTACGTGGCCAACACTTTGTTATGCAGTTGTAAGTGACAAACACATTGTCTCGCATTTCTTAGTGACAAACCCATGGGTTCTCGTATGTACTATACTGCATGCATATGGGGCACGAAGTTCTGCAGTTCTTAGTGATGAACTTTCCTGTTCTGCAGTTGCAACTGTAAAACTCTTTAGTTAGCCACTTACAACTGCAAGACAAAGTGTTCGCCACTTACAACTGTACAATATCTGCACTTGGATTTGCAGAGTGGGCTGTAAACTTACAGGGTAAAGACGGGAATCGGACCGTCAGTTTTGCATCTTCTGACCGACTGATGAGCTTCACCTCGCCCTCGATGGTGGATTGAATGCCGGTCAGGGAGCTGGTCTGTCTGTTGAGGATGGAGATTCTGCCGTCATTGTCCACCGTGTAGTTGCCTGTCACACACTTGCCGGCGAACTCGAAGATGGCGAAGTACCGCTCCGCCTCGAACCACTTGCCGAGGTACTGTAAATAAAGGTATCAGCCATGAATTTCGTTTCGTCATTTTTCGATGTAAAAATTTTTCGCAGGGCTCGAATGTAGGACGCAAATCTAGATGACAATTTCTCATACAACCCATTACACTCACCTTTGTCACGTCAAAGCTCGGCATCACCTTGACGTCGGGGCACGTCCCGAGGAAGGGCACCTGCGCGTCGCACTGCATCACCGCGAAGAGCGCCACGGCCAGCCCCAGGGCGACGGGCCGAGCCATCATGGCCTGGAAGGGCAACAACAACATTTTAAAAACGGGCCCAAGTCAAACAAATGCACGCCCCAGTTGATCAGGTCACGGCGCGGCTCGCCGGCGGCCCGATCAGACGGAACCAGTCAGGGGGGCGGGGGCAGCCGGGGGTGTGGGTCACGACGGCAACGGATCGCTGCCCAGCCCAGCAGACGGAGCAGAGCGCGGCGGCGCGGAGCTCGGGCCACCCACCTTCGTCTCGCACCCACGCCCCGCCGGCGCCGGCCCCGCCGCCCCGCGAACGGGTCGCTTGAAACACGCAGCTTCGGCTAGATGAAAGAAAGACCGGCCTCGAATCTCGATATCCCAGCAAAAGGTTCTTCCCAAAGGCCTTTCTCGTTTTCTGCCCTGACAAACGCTTTAGAGTAGGGCAGCCACATTCTGCTGCTTGGGGCTTCCCTGGTGGATACCCGACGGCGGGCAGCCAATTCAACCAGAAGCGACGAGGTCTCTGGAGGGCGGTCGGAGAGCTCCCAAAATTATTAGACTTCCAGCCCGGCGCCAATTTCAGAAACAGCCATCGAATTGTTCGTGATCTGTCTTAAAGAGGTAAACAAAATATTTAAAATGTGGGGAAATCCGAAATTGCCACTGAAAGTCGAACCGTCCGGGGAGCCCTCCGGTGCCACAAAGTGCCCCCCCCCCTCCTCTCCCCTAAATACTTTTTTTCTGGACCACGCCCGCACCGCCTTGTGTTTGTCTGTTTGTTGTGGGACTGGAGGACGACGCTCGGAAGTAGGTGAACAGGGTGGGGAGCGGCGACCGGCCCGCTGCCCCGTCCCTCCTGCCCGCTCCTGCCACTCCTTCTCCCCCTTCTCCACGCGACCCGCGGTACGCTGCTGCTGCCGCTGCTGCTCGGTGTTCCGTTGATTGTCTTCCAACAATGAAAGCGCTTTCTTTATTCTTTACATCCTCCTCTCTTCCCTCCCCCTCTATTAGGCAAATCACGCGAGGCGCCGCCGTTAAGCGCCGCGCGCGGAGGGGCGAGGGGAGCGAGCTGGCCTCCTCAAGTTCACGGTGGCGGCCGCCTGATGGCAAAGGCAAGAGGTCTCATCGGGCTGCGGAGAAATTCACTCTTCTGGCCGATCGACCACGTGGTCTACGAGCTACCACGTGCGCATGGCTATGGACCACCGGGCCAAAGTTTTAAAATTTCATGGCGATTCTCGAAGGATGGAGCTCTATGGAGGAGCCCACTGTGAACCTATAGCGACGGCCGTCATCCCCATGGCCAGGTGTATTCCTATGGGCCGGTGGTAAACGTCGTCCAATATTATTGAACTCTGCTGAGACACAACCGGAACCTCCTGGAGAAGAAATAATGTACCACTTCTGTTTCCTCCTGAACTCCGGTTGGTCAACGGTGACGTCACTCTCGCAGTCGTATGTGCGCGCACAGGAGGAAACAAGAGCGGTAGTCGTGTTATTCTATTCAGGTTCCGGCTTCCCCTCAGCAGTACCGTACGCCCCTATCAACTGACCCACCCTATCAGCCAGCCTTTCCATCATCAGCTCGGCCTTCCCCGATGAACAGGACAGGCCGCGTTCACAACGCAGCACGCCAATGAGTGTCTCGCCGGCTTTCCCGTGCGTCGACGCGCACATCGCTATGTCCTCCCCCGCGCCGCCCCGGCCGCCTCGCGGGCTCCCGCTCCCGCGCTCAGTTTTCTCTCCTTTGTGCTGGAAGCACCGCGCGGCGGGGGCACTTTTGTTGCTTCGCTGCCGCCGGTGCATGTTGTTGTTATGGTTATCGACAAAAGATGACTGCTTTCCTCCTCAACCGCTCGTTTAGAGTAGAAAGTTTGAGGTGAACGGGACGCACCCGTTCGCAGGCCTCTACTGACGGGAGCTCTCCATCTACGATTTCAAAAAATGTACCAGGTGGCTGACATACGCCACGGCATTTCGTGGTTATACTGTACCGCATACGCAGGCGGACGGGTTGCCCACTCGCTCAGGACTGTAGCGCACGAAGACGGTGAACAATCCCACCAACACCCCTGCATGCGGTTCAGTATGACATGCGCAGGTTCTCATCTGTCATTATAAATGAAGTACAGGTGAGCAAAGCAAGGAAGTCAAAGTCTTTAACCAAACCTATAACGCAGTTTAAGTTTTGCGCGAAGCAACACATTGTACACAGAGTTGAGGAAGGCTGGACGTTTAACGCTCCGTCATGTCATTCGTGTTCGACAACTTGCAGTTGAGCACAAGAAAGTTTCAGGGGACATGTGACGTGCACGGACCGGATGTGCATCGGGAGCTGCAGGGTCACTCACTAAGTCGTTGGCCGGGTATCGCGCGTCGAGCACCGGAGCAGGGCACTGCCAGCAGGGGGAGCAGGAGGTGGGGTCTCGGACCGGTGGCGCCCGCGGCTGCCGCGCGTCGTGGGTGAGCTGCTTTCTTCTGCGACTACACGACCCCTATCAGGAGGATCGACTCGTCATGTCCACGTGCGAGTATGGCACTCGGGGAGGGATTGGCGCGCACGGGGAGTGAGTGGTCACACCGCCAAGCCCTGGCCGCGCCGCCGCAGTACTGCAGGCTGGGGCCGCCCGGGAGCACCGGGCCGCTGGCAGGGCACGCCGCACGGACCGGGACCTCGGCGGGGCGCGGCGGGGCGCGGCGGGGC